TATGCTTTAGTCGTTGTAGCTTTCAACTTTTCTAAAATCCGTAGAACCTTCGTAGGTTTGTATATCTCGGAGCAGCAAGAAGACACTCGAATTATAGTACGAACAAGAAAAGTTTCATTAGTACGGGTGTCGTAAGTGTCATCACTGAAGAAAGAAGCCAAGTAATTTCCTAACGCTTCAGCTTTATCCGTTTTGCTTAGAAAAAGATGGCCTTGATCGTCAACTAACTCATGGATTATCTGCTGTCCTTTGGCTTTACTTCTAAGGGCCGCATGCATTAACATCCACGCCGGGAGGGGATTGAAGCTTAAAAGAAAAGCTTCATATCCTGAAGCTCCAAATATCCGGATTTCACATTGTCCACTTCTCCGTAAGTATTCCTAATATCCTTCACTATGAACACATTGAACAGGAGCGAGAAGCTGTACAAGCCGCAATTCCCAGATTTTTATATGATCCCCTGATGATCCCCGGTGGCCGACCGTATTTTCTTCAAAGTCATTCTTTTCTTCAGAGTCAATGAAAATGTGCCAAAGTTTCACTGATTAACTAACCAAACAGTAGTAAGCATCTTTCTGATAAAAACATGATGTGTTGGAGTTATGAAATTTGCGATGAACCACAAGTCGAATGTTAGGGTTTATCGAACAATTCGACTTTTCAAAAACTCATCTGTTCTTATCAGCGACATGTTTAGCACTGTTGTGCTAAGGACCCGTCATACTTCGCCGAAAAAAGCCCAAAAACGCCCAAAAAAAGCCCGAGTAAGCCTAAAAAACCCAAAAGCGCCAGAAAGAGCCGGAACGTCCCCTTCCGCGTGCACGTTTTGGCGCTAAGGCATGCGTGTTGATTTCGCAACCAAGTCCTTTTAATTCATTTTCTGCCGTCTGTACATCAAAATAATGACAGGATTCTATCAAAAGTTCATTTCTGCGTTCCGGCGCTTTTGAGCTTTTTCGGGCTTTTTTGGGCTTTTTCGGGCTTTTTTGTGCTTTTCTGAGCATTTTTGGGCGAAGTATGACGGGTCCCTTAGATATTCAGTACAACTTTGGAAGGTTTTCGTTAACTTCGAAGAAAGAAAAATGACTTTGAAGAAAATACGGTCGGCCACCGGGGATCATCAGGGGATCATATAAAAATCTGGAAATTGCGGCTTGTACAGCTTCTCGCTCCTGTTCAATACGTTCATAGTGAAGGATGGTAGGATTATTTACGCATAGGTTTACAGCGTGAAATCCAGACATCTGGAGCTTCAGAATAAAGCTTTCTTTCTAAGCTGTGATCCCCTCCCCAGCGGGGATCTTAGTGCATGCGGCCCTAAGATAACTATACAGCTCTTTGAAATTGCATCTAGAAGTCTCATAATTGTCAAGAAGGCTGAACCAGTCAATGTCTTCGAGAGCTTTGCTTATCTCGGGAAAGTTAGCTTTTCAAAAATCTGGGTATGGAACAAAAATGTTCTTACTCGCGCTGAATTTGGTTCCAAACTTAACTACATTACGATCTGAATTGCCAAAAGGTGGGAGGACAGCAACGTTTTGAACTAAGTCTTGAGAAGAAAATACAAGATCGATGGCTGATTCCCCTCTGGTTGGGAAACTCACGTGTTGTTGAAAGTTTCAATCATATATAACAGAGAGAAGGTTATGGTTGGCGAGAGCAGGAGAGAGGAAGTCAATGTTAAAATCACCCAAAACGATGATCGGTAATGGAACTGAACACAAATTTGAATAACACTTGACGAAGCAAGATTATCATTAGAATTACAGGAAGGTAGACGATATGTCACAATGAAACGCGAGGGAGACAGAGAAGATGGTGACTAGATATTAAAGCAAAGAATATCCCACTTATAATCATTGGCAACGCATATTTTCCTGACTGCAGAATTTTGCTTGACCATACAATATGCATCCCCACCTCTACCATGAGCTCGATCTTCAAGAGGGGAGGTCAGCGATAACTACCGAGTCAGCAATCTTGGAACAAAACCACGTCTCTGTTACACACAAAACGTCAGGTACATTGAAAACAAGAAAAACATATAAAAGTCAATTTGTTGATTAGACGAGAATTGAAAAGGAAACATGAGATAAATGCGAAAGCTCCAGGCAGTTTTACGCGTTTCCATGTGTCTGACGCTGTGGAAGCTCCGAGATGTGACGCCGCAGTTCTCCTTTATAGACAACCCATTCCCTAATAGACTTCCCCATGTTTCTTTCTCTAGCAGTCTGCCTCAGATCATAATCCTTGGCCCGCTCAGAGGCGCTCATGCTCCTATGGACATAAACTTTCGTAGGTCAGAGTGCCCAGGAAGTGAGCGTTAGACGGAGCTTGAATCCAGAAACGGCGGGAAGGGAAAACAACCTTGACTAGCCTTGGTTTAGCCCCGTCAAACTTCCCCATGCCTTCTGCGGGCCAACAATCTACCTTCAACACATCTACTTTGGTACCCCTCGTTCCAGCTTAGCCTTCCTTTCCAGAAGTGGCTTGTTAGGCTCAGACTCTTCCAAAACGATGCTTATACTTCTCTTTTCTGCCTCAGCGTCGGGAAGAATTTTAGTCAATGCAAGGAGCATTCTCTCAGTTACTGGATTAAAGTTCTTCTCCAAAATTGAGTGCATAAGCTCCATTGCAGAAAGGTCGCTGAAATTATCCTCATCGGGTCGAGTAACAATGGAATCAGTACGAACGTTTTGGCTTGGGAAATAAGAAACAGTTTTTTTTTTGACACTACGAGTGGACAGTCTGAGTTTATGACCTGCTAGAGCGGGAAGGCATTAGGGAAATTATCTATTGAGGCAAACACAAAAACAAGATTTATGGTGGATAGATAGCAGTAGAGGAATAGAAGAGCTTAAAATAGAAAAAAGAAGCAAGTGTATCAATATCTCAATATATCTGGATACTGAGAAACTGAGAAAAGTTGAACTGAAAAGCAGGAAAAACTAGAAATTATTGTAATACCATCGTCCAGAAAATAACACCTGGGGCGGTATGCACCAATCTCCCGTTTTGAAAGCGGGCGATCATTTTCAATAGTAAAATGATTGTCCGGCCGGGTTGGCCGCCCGAAACGTAATGTATGAAGCTGCGGCCAACCGGCCGGGCAATCATTTTTCTATTGAAAGTGATCGCCCGCTTTCAACACGGGAGATTGATGCATACCGCCCCTGGTCACAAAACAACCCATTTGGTGAACAATGAATACAAAATTTTATTTTGGCCAAAGAAAATATAATTGCAGATATGATTAGTGGGGTGAAGCGAATGCTGGTTACTTTTACTGTACTAATTTTTGATGGTACGAGGTCACCAGGAGGATTACGGTAACGTACGTAGGGAACTGAAACCACACATTCACCCCAAAATCCGTACAGTAGGATAGTTTGGCATGCTGATTACAAATGAAGGGCCGGGCATACATCACGCGATCTGATCGCCTCGCGATTCTCACGACCCGACAACCACTCAGATTCGCCGGGGGCAGGCGGCCATGCAATTTATGGGCAGGCGGGCACCGGAAAAATGGTTCGCTGATTTATTGCGGTCCGTTTGCAGAAATTTGGAAGAATGTTGGCCAATTTTTGGACGAATGCTAGGTGAAAAATCGCGGTTTTTCTGTAGATTAGTTGCTGCGCAGTTGCCGTATTCTCCGGACTTTCCGCGAGAATTGCAAGAGCCGCGCGGTCCTTTGTGGAGAACCGCTCAGCCCATAGGTACCTTCCGCTAAGAAAAAGTACCCCAAACTCGGGTAATTGAACCATCGATGACACATAGAGTCTCACCTTTGCTCGGCGTACGCCCGAAACTGCTTAGAAAGAGTCCGAGCGCCTGCTGAAAGTTTGGCCAGCGCTCGCTGAAGGAGATTATTTAACGTGCGCTTGCAGGAAATTTTGTATTGCTGCCCGTTGGCAGGAAACGGAAAAACCGCTCGCTGAAGATTTGGCCACGCCTCAAAGCTTTGTTGACCACTTGCAGAAAAGCGCGATGCAGATTTTCTGAGTACTACAAATAACTGCACGCAGATTATCTTGCATTTCGGTTGTGACAGTGTTCAACACGACTAATCGCGAGTAACTACCACAATCGAAATGCAAAATGATCAGCATGCAATGAACTCGTAACAGTTGTTTTGTTGTGGGAATCGGAGAGCGATGAAATCGCGTAATATATGCCTGGACCTTAAAGGCATTGTCCATGTCAGTTGGGGGTGGTGGGTTTTGACGCAGTGCAGAAGCACGGTTCCTGACTGATGGAACAGTTCAAATCCGATCGAACATGATGGATTCTAAAGCGAGAAAATCGTTTCGGAAAACAGGGGCGGTTTGCTAATTCCGCTTCCTTGACCAGTGTTTTGACGTGGCAAATGCTGTTGATTCATTGTATTAAGCACGTCGAAACTTGTCAAGGAGACGGGAATGGTGGACTGCCTCCTTTTTTCGGAGCGATTTTCTCGCTTCAGAATCTATCTTTTTCAATCGGGCTTGAATTGTTGCATTAGCCAGGAGCCGTGCTCCGGCACAGTGTCAAAATCCCACCACTTCTCAGTTGATCTAGGCAATGTTTTTAACGCATCCATTGTGAATGGATAACAATGTTGTCCTGAGAGGTTACGATAGGTAACGTCAGAATTAGGAATTAGACTTACGTGTGGACCACCGGTGCACAACGCCAAAAACGCTGTGCAGTATTGCTCGTCCTCAGCATACCCGCACTTAGGCATCGGCGTTAATAGCTTGATGTTTCATTCTTATCGGCTTCGAATGTCTAAACGCAGAGGGTGCACGAGCAACCTTTCTTCGCCTGATTTTGCATTGTCCGCCACGGGTTAGAGGAAACGACAATAGGGCGGCACTGAGCGACGACTCTCGCACATTATTGCGCCTGTTATCTTTATATAAAAACACATTACTTTTCATAAGGCGGATTGATTGGAGTTCATACTAGTTTCCTCTGGAATAATTTTTGTTTCTGCCTTGAACAAGATTTCACTCTAGGATCCCGCCCATCCTGGCGAAACCGTCATTGTGGTGCAATCGCTCGTGCCAGGTGGACTAGCTCAGTCAGATGGCAGAATCGTGCCTGGCGATCGCCTCCTCTTTGTCAATCAACATGACCTCAGCAACAGCAGGTAATTTTGATGTTCAAAGGCACCGAACCCTAAATCGAGGTTGTTGAGATTTTGATGCTGAGCAGAGCCCCTAACCAAGCAATTGCCCAAGTCCCGCTGCAAAAGATGATTTTTGAAGCAAAAAAAGCGCTTCAGAAGGTAGTAACGGCCCAGGTAGCTCCGCCCAACAACGTGGGTGGTCTGAGGATAGTAAGTCCAAAAATGAGCTTTAAATGCACCTAGAATTGTCACAAATTCTCCATTCGTTATGACAATCAAAATTGCGACTTATCTGCGCTAAAGTTTGATTTTGGAATCATTAACTCCAAACCACGTTGATGGGCGGATCCACCAAGGCTTTTCCTACCTTTTGTAGCAGTTTTCTCACTTCGAAATCCACCTTTTGCAGCGGGGCTTGGGCGATTACTTTCGAGAAAAGGGTCAGAACTAAACCCAACCATCCCAAACAAGCTGTATATCATCGGACTCGCCTTAAATCGCTGATTTCAAAGATACAACACCGCTTACAGAATGTGCAAAATTTCCGTGAATGTCGCGGAATCCCGGTATTCCGCGAAAGTCCGCGACATTCCGGAATTTTCTCGAAATTCCCGGAATATCGCAAATTACGGTGCGCCATAACTTCCTTCGGAATGAATATATTTTGAATCCGAATGCAGCTTTGTGTTCAGCTCGTCAAGGCGAGTCTTACGATATACAGCATGTCCTTGATATTTCGATTTCAGTATTCTTGAAACTTTCTGCGGACGTCTTTTCGTAAAGATGTAAAGTAGCGCGTATTGATCCTAGTAGAGATTCCAGCAGAAACCTTTTGACAGTACTTCTTCTGTAGATTATGGGGAGCCAGAACTAACCGCACATTTCTTTCCAAAAGAAATAGAAGGACTGGTGATTTTTGAAAAATCATGTCGTTCTAAATTTTTCTCACCGTAACCCTAAAATATGAAGCTCTCTTGCTAAGCTTTCGTAATCAGCAGGTCGGATAACCTCTATGAGCAAATTTTCCGAGATGTTCGGGTTATTTCATTTTTCTCGTTTTACGCCCCGAAGCTAGCCGATGGATTTTGGCCAAAATGTTGATGATCTCGAATTGTAAGGAAACTTCGCTTATAGAGGTTTTCGGACAAGCTCTCTACGAAAATCATAGTCTTTGAGGAATACAGGGTCTTTTTCCAGAGATATGGTAAGGTAACCGTAACTGAGTCACGAGGACCCTGCAAAAAGACCCTGTATTCCTCAAATATTACGATTTTCGTAGAAAGCTTGTCCGAAAACCTCTATAAGCGAATTTTCCTTACAATTCAAGATCATCAACATTTTGGCCAAAATCCATCGGCTTCAGGGCGTAAAACGAGAAAAAATGAAATAACCCGAACATCTCGGAAAACTTGCTCATAGAGGTTATCCAACCTGGTGATTACGAAAGTCAGCTCAGCAAGAGAGCTTCATATTTTAGGGTTACGGTGAGAGAAATTTAGAACGATATGATTTTTCAAAAATCACCAGTCTTTCTATTTATTTTGGAAAGAAATGTGCGGTTAGTTCTTGGCTCCCCATAATCTACAGAAGAATCATTGTCAAAAGGTTTTGCTGGAATCTCTACTAGGATCAATACGCGCTGCTTTACATCTTTGCGAAGAGACGTCCGCAGAAAGTTTCAAGAATACTGAAATCGAAATATCAAGGACATGCTTGACATCGTAAGATTCGCCTTGATGAGCTGAGCGCAATGCTTTTTTTTCGGATTCAAAAAAATAACCACTCCAAAAAAAGTTACGGCGAGTAGAATTTGGAAACGCGTGATTTTTCCAGAATTCCCCAACGCTTCCATCTCTTTTGGAAAGAAATCTGCGGCTACCTCCGCAGAAGAATTTGAGAAAATTTGAAGACGGGATATAGAGGACATGATGTACATTAGAATATTCGCCTTGACGAGCTGAACACAAAGTTGCATTCGGATTCAAAATATATTCATTCCCAAGGAAGTTATGGCGCTGCGCAATTTGCGATATTCCGGGAATTTTGAGGAATTTCCGGAATTTCGCGAAATCTTTGAAATGTCGCAAACTTCCCGGAATGTCGCGGATTTTCGCGGAATACCCGGAATTCCGCGACAATCACGGAAATTTTGCACATTCTGTGAGTGGTATTGTATGTTCATCGTCTGCCAAGCAACTATCTGGAAGGAGTTATTAGCGTTCAAATGTGAAAAATGTTTCGAGTTTTGACGAGTGTACTTTCTTCGGCAGCCTGATGGCGTGTATTTGTGGCTGTGGTTAATTCAGTAACGAGGAAGAAGCACATTCACCAAAAATCTAAATACGCATTTTTGAAACTCTTCGTGGAACATGCGCCACAGAACACATCACAATCGCACATTCAAAAGCTCATAACTCCTTCCAAATAGTCGCTTGACAGATAATAAACATAAAACTGGGTTAAGTTCTGCCCATTTCCTGCTTAGTCAAGAACCCGTTAGTTATACACCGAATTTCCTAGTCTACTAGGGTGAGTCAAAAGTAATGAGAACTTCGTATCTCCTCTTAAACCTATTCTCAAATTATGTAGAATGTAAACAGGCAAATGCTCTAAACGGTGTCCGATATGGCTCTTTTTCTTCTTTCCAGCAGTCATAATTTCCAACCATATCACTTCGTGGTTGATAAAATATTTGCAGAAATTTTGGACCCAAAGCGTTTGCCGTTCAAATTCTATGGTTTTTTCAGACGTGGCAAAAAATTTTAGATCATGGTAATTTGAAACGGTAAGCGCTTGAATACTTTGCAAATTCAAGGTTAGATAATAAACTATTTTCGAAGCTCCCAATGTCGAAAGATTTTGTAGAGTTTGATGCATTTTTGTTTTAGCGATTTAAAATTTTAGGGCTTTTAGGAATTTTAAAAAGCCTCAAAATGCTAGTTTCGAAAGACCTACATAAGAGGTGGATGAATTTTGGATTAAGCAGGACCTGCTCTCTCTTTAGATAATCGAATTTGTTTAAAACCCTCAAACTAAAACTTTTGAGAATTAGCTAAACTTAAAGCAAAAATGATAGTTCAAAATTTGGGAAGTTTTTTCAACAACTAAGAAGTCAACTGCGCCTTTGGCTTCGCTACTGAAAAGAGAAAGAAAAGCTACGTTTAATACAGTTTAGGGTAATTTCGTCACTTTAAGAGCTGTTTTGTGAATTTGTAAGTTAAAAGAGTCCTTGAACAGGCAAGATGATGAGTTTTTGTTAGAATTTGCATCCATGTATATATCTTTTCACTCTGGAGTCAGTTTTTAAGCAGTCCGGAAGGAAAGGCTTAGCTATGATTAACTACTAGGCTGTACGGGTTGGGCAGTCTACCCAGCATTGTTTTAGTTTGATGCATAGATCTTGTACAAAATATAAAAAAAATTTCCAGTGTCTTTCGAAAAAATTTTGAATCATGTTGTCTGCTTTATCTTATGATTGTTGCATTTGATTATATTTAGCTGTTGTTGTTTCAAAAATGATGCGACAAAAGTTTTGTCGCATCATTTTTGAAAGATTAAATCTTTGTTTTCTCAACGGACTTGCATAAATTCACTTTCAAGGGATAGCTTTTGAGATGGAAGCAGGAGAATAAAATTACTTCAATTCCTGTCATTCTAAGTCAGGCTGCTAAAAATATGGAACTGGCGATGATATTTTGAGCAAGCAATATAGTAAGTCTTTTGATTCACGGTTCCCAACAGTGCAGAGTTTGCGTCAAAATAGCATTTTTATAAAGAGTTATCATTTTCGGGAAAAATGGCAGAAAATCATTCCTCGCTTTGTATTGCTTACCCGAAAATCATAACTCTTCACAGAGATGCTCCTCAACACAAACTCTGCGTAGATGATAAGGGTGGATTGTAGGACTTACTATATTGATTGTTCGGAATTTCATGGCAAGTTTCAGATTTTTAGCAGCCTGACTCAAATTGATCGAAGTCGAAGTAATTTTGTTCCCCTGCATCCATCTCAAAGGCTACCCCTTATTAGAGAGCAGCGAAGGCAATATCACAAAGAGGAGGGCCTCCATCTAGCAAAATCAAATTTGTGCAAATTCATTGAGGGAACAAGAAGTCGTGAGATTTTCACGTACTCTCTTCTTTAAACCTGGGCATGATGTATCGAATATTATGTAGTGTTGTTCTGTCAACCAGGTTTTTGTGGTGGATTTTTATTGTTGACCTCGCGTTTCGACAAATATCTTCCTCAGACGACTGAAAGGGGATTGCACTTATATTATTTGTTAGTCTATTGGACCAAACGCCTTATCAGACTTCCGTCGTTTGAGCCTTGTCGAGGCGCAACGTGTCGAGAAACAATTTAAAATGGATTCACCAACCTCTAGTTCGCCATGGAGTCAGTAGTCTGCACGAATGTGACGAACATCACCGAGGCTGCTTAGTGAGTCTGGACTATATACTGTGCGGTTCGAGGTCACATAGTGACATAAGAGGCAAGAGATCAGCTTGTTCATTCCCGGATTTACGGCGTATATCCACGCGGCCTCTGGCAATTTTTGTGCCGAAATTTCAACCTCGTGCTCTAGAATTGTACACTTCACATTGAAATCACTGCCATCGTGTGCCTTGATCTTATGTTTGCCTAACGGTGATGACAAGAAGTTATAATTTTTCAAAAATGATGCGACAGAATTCTTGTGTCAACTGATAATGGAGATTTTATCTGAATCAAAATCAAGAAGAGAGGTTTGAAAGAAAAATATTTGTAAATTCATTGATCACTATAACTTAGGTAAAGGGAGAGTTGTAAACCAAAAACCAATAGAAATTGGTTTCGTTAGATTCTAGGGCCTTTTTAGCGATTGAAAATTCAAGAAGCCATTTTCTGGGTATTTTTGAGTATTTTTCTCAATCACTTTTTATTCTCGTGACATCCTTACAGTGATTTTGAAACAAAGCATTTCCAGACGCATGCTTCTTGTCTGATGTATGTCAAAGCAAGCAATTCTGTTGAAGGATGGAATAGATCAAAACTTCAAATTTTGCTGCGAAACTTGTGCTTTAGCCCTTTGCCAAAATCCTCACTATCATTTGTTCTGTTCATCCTTCGGCCTCAAATCTATAATTTTTTAGTCCGAGTATAGCACACGCGGTTTTGCCCGTTCCGTTTTTTTTTTCAAAAAAAAACTGGCTTAGCTATTTATTCCTATCTGCGTAAATCCCTCCATTCTTCTTGGCAGAATAGCTCATTCTTTAGCGTTCGTTTTGCGCAACGATCTCATTGTTCCCTATTTTAGTTTGGAACGAGCTGTGGCTGTGCTAAAGGCTGCTCCATTGGGACGAATCCGAATAGGCATTGCTAAACCGATACCCATAGATCAGGTGAGCAGAAATATCGTTTAAAGGCAACGTCCACCCAAGTTGAGGGTGATGACATTTATGCTGCCATTGAGCTCTTAACTTCTGGGAAAAACCGGATTGCGATGAATTTTTTCGTTGCTGCGTTTTTGTCGTGAAAAAACCGTCGGACTGCTGTAACTTCTTTTGAAGCAGGCTTTTGAGGAAACTGAGAACATCACTGGACTGCTACGAATCTTCGGTTTAGAAATTAGGTCTAATTTTCAAAAATACTTTTGTTTGAACTATCGCGACGTATTTGTCGCGACAAAACGTTACACGGCGCTAATTTCTTGACAATAGGTTTCGCGAATCTTTGAATGAAAATCTGAATTCCTGGCAAGTTTTCGACTTAGAAGCTGCTTCAAATGAACAATTTTCTGCTGAATCGTTTGGTGATTGATTCTTCCAAGAGCGCTTCAAGCAAAAGTAAAGTCTCGAACGGATTGATTCGAATTTTGTGTTTCCTAATTAGCTAAGCCGCGAACACATGCCTCTGAATCAGGGTAGAGCAAGAGGTGTGGCACTGAACGGCCGAATACAACGACCCCCTCCCCCCCCCCCTCCATTCCCTCTTCCCCCTCCCTCCAATACCAGGGTTGCATTTTCGAAAGATTCACGCTGCTAAGCAAAAAGCCTCTATAGTACCGTCTTCGAGAAATATAAGTGAAACCTCATGAGTCTAAAAAAAGTTGAAGAACTCGCTTTTTTCCATATAACAAGTGAAGACAAGGTCCAAATTATACGCACTTACACCAAAGTTATGAATCAGGTAACGTATGAGCTCTTTACATTACAGGACACTCCAAGATGCATAAAACTAGTAGAACAGAGTTGCAATCTTACGAAAGTATACTGGTTTTCGACTCACAAAAGAACTAGGAAAAGAAAAAGCCTTTGGATAAAACAAATCGAAACCGTTTTTGAAAGAGATGGCGGAAATTACCGCATCAGTGCATTTCGAAACTATATCGCATCAAGAAATAACACATAAAAACACAGTATAGCTTGCACAAAGACAGCTAGTTTTGTGCGAAGAAAAACTCACTTTGAATGTCAGATTGCATGAAACGAAAAAAAATACCTCTAATTATGGAAAATCAAGCTGTAAGCGTCATTCCATTTTTGGGAGGAATCAAGAACCAGACTGTAGATATGTAGTCCTATTATCCTTAAAAGGTCTCAATATCTGAAGGAAATCTCATATAAGGAAACCGACGAAAAGAAGTACAAATTCTAAAACAGTCGCAAAACAATGGAAGGCATCCGAATTATTTAGCTTGCCGCCTTTCTGCATGTTTACGCAATAACGCAGAAAGGCGGCGAGATGAATTTGCGTGCTACCGTAATCCGATATTTTGGCAGCCGCACGATGGATGGTAGTTAGTAGAAAGAGCGCTGTATCTCATTTTGTGCGGGAAAGTTTTGGATGAAAATCATACTATAAAGAGAAGAAGGTTGAGCGATAGCAACGACACTAAAATCGTAGACATTCAACGGCTTTAAGGGTAAGTTAGTGGGGTGTGGCACCCCTCTTAAAAAGCTGTGGCAGCCACAGCTTTTTAAGGGGGGTGCCACACCCCAATAACATACCTTCAAAGAAAGTTTTGGCGAACGTTTCAAACATGATTTGAAAGCCCAGTCCTCGTACTATGCATAGAAAGTATTAGGTTGGCACATAAGTTTTGCAACTTTTTCTTATAACTCGTGTGTTTTGCGATGTGGCCCCTCCATTTTCTGGTATTATAATGAGTATCGTGTTAACAGCGAAAGCAACCATTCCTGCCATATTCCAACATCACGTTGGAGAGTTACGATAAGGCAATTTTTGAATGGGAAAGAAAAAGGAATTGACACGGATTAGGGTGAAACTTGGTCTAAAGGGGTTATTCGACATCCTGATAACGAAAATGATGTTCATTTTGCTTGAAAAAATTATTTTGCTACAAAAAAAGTTGAATTACAAAAAACACTAGGCTAATTTTTGACTCTGATAACGATTGAATATGATATTTGTATTCAGCATGTCAAATTATCCCATCGTGCAAAGTTTCGCCAATATTCGGCTATTCTGACTTTCTGGCATTGATGAATTATCCAAGCTACTTTGACGCATTTGACTTGTTTGAGTTTATGAAATCGCCAGATTTCCATTTAACAATGAATTACAATTCTTTTTTCGCTGGGTTCAGTAGCCAACCTCTGAGAATATTTTGCCCACAGTTCCGGTTAAATTTGGTTAACTTACTTTCGTAGGTCTTCATCTTTGCTAAAAAAAACCATAAAACCTCAATTTTGACTGCTTTTAGGAGAATATGCAGATCTTTTCCATTTTGCCACAAAAAATCAAACGGTTTGCGCAGATTTATAGCGCACTTCCGAGTCTACATAATGTCAAAATTTTAATGCGCCTCATTCATAGAGAAAGAAGTTATGGACAAGGTTGCAAAACTTATGTGCCAACCTATTATTTGAGCCTGATTCGTCTTCTTTAGAAGGAGTAATAGTTGATGAAATCGCAACCATCAAAACTGAAAAGTGGAACAAACACGATCTTGGCAGGCTTCTAATTCTATAACTTGGCGTTCAATTGAAGTGGGACTTCTCATATGGAAAGAGAAGGAGTAGTGCTTTGTAATGAGTGCAAGAAACTAAATAGCTAAGTCGCCTAAACGAAGTTAATCGCTTTCGAAAATTGTACTATATCACTTGAGGTTATTCACTATACGGAAACGTCTGATCTCACTGAAACTTGAATAGGATAGGTGGATAGGTGTCATCCGGCATGTCAATTACGAAAATGATACCCAATGTGTTTGGTAGAGCTACTTTATTATGCTTACTGTACCTACACGATGGCACACCAGTACCTCATGCGCTTCTTATCTGCATAGTGGACATACCTGACTTCATTGGCACATATTATGTTATCGCCAACATCAATATCACGTCAATTACGACCCCCCTACCGACCCCCTCCCCCTCCCTCTACGACCCTCTTGTGTGGCGTGCCACACCCCACGCTTTACCCTGCTCTGAATGGAAATCTAACTGGTCAGAGAGCTGAGTGAGCTGGGTGCAGGGGCACTCAATTAGGTATGGCAGCCGTAATTAAGAAAGAAGCAAAAATGAGGGACATTTAGGTGATATTAAGATATTCAATTCATACACTTTCAATTAGCATTTTTCACGGAAGTTTAGAGTACGTGAAAGTGCCGGTTCAAGATAACACTGGATTTGGTCCAAATTTGCGGAAATTTGAGTTTTTGCACACTTTTACCGGTCACCAGGCGGTTCCCTTCTCAGAATCAAATATTCCAAGGTGAAAAATTTGAACAGCAGTTGCCACTCAGGAACATCGACGAAGTTTTGACCCTTCAATCAATCTATCTTTTGTATCACAGTTTTGGAAATGAGGTACAACGTCGTCAATGGAACACGCGCACCTCATTTCAAGACCATGTACCTAGAAAACGATTCCATATAGCAAACCGAATTCAAACTATTTTGTCACAAGAGTCCTTGTATTTTACAAATTACGAAGTCATTTGGCCACTGAATAGCTTTGAAAATTATGAGGCCATGAAATCCGCACCTAGCGTAAGCGAGGTAACTAGTTTTGAGGGGCTAAATCAGCCAGCATCATATTTCATAGGTCGAAAATAATGACGAAACACCGCATTGCACTTGCTTTCAGTTCCTTCAATAAACTTTATAAATTACTAGCTTGCTTACCCGGCTCCGCTCGGCCTTGTCAAAACACTGTATAAAAGTTCCCATCCCTATCCCTGTAAAGCCTTTCCCTGTGCCCACTTCTACACTTCATTTCCCTGTGTTGTTTTCGAAATTAGCATGCCACTAACCCCCCTGTGCCAACACCCAGCCCTGTAGCTTGAATTTTACAAAAAGTCAATAAAATCGATAAAGTAATCGACAATTCCAGAAACTAATATTATTCGTAATTAGCATGCTCGATTACCCCCTGTGCCAACTCCCAGCCCCGTAGCTCAAACTTTTGCAAAAAATCGATAAAATCGATATCGATCGATGACGAAAAGTAGCCTATGATACCGTCCCAGCCAAGTGTATGTGTGCCAAGTTTGGTCCGGATTGGTTCAGGAATAAAAATTTCTATTACGCATATACGTACAAACATACAGACAAACAGACATTCAGCTTTATATATAAGATACGAAAACTTCGTAAATTTGATCTGAATTTGACGAAGAAATCTACCTAGTCACTAAATGCAGTGCGTAAAATTTTTTTGTTGAGTCGAAGCACCTTCCAGGTCGAAAACTTGCCAGGAATTAAAATTGTATTTGTAGATCCGTGAAACTTATTGTCAAGGAAATTAGCGCCGTGCAACGGTTTTATCGGGACAAATACGTCGCGATAGGTCAAAAAGAATATGCTTGAAAATTAGACCTAAATCTTAAACCGCCAGATTCGTAACAGTCTAGTGACGTTTTGTTACTTCGAAAATCTGCTTCAGAAGAGGCTATTGCAGTCCGACGGTTTTTTCATGATAAAAAAGCAGCGACGGAAAAATTCATCGCAGTCCGTTTTTCCCAAGAGTTAGGAGCTCATTATAATTGCGGGAACCCTAACTATGCAAACGCCCATGTCCTGCCGAAAGATAAATTCCAAAGCGAGAAAATAGCTTCAAAAATGAAAAAGACCCAGATGGCTCCGCCCATCAACGTGGGTGGTCTGAAAACAATCCAAAAATTGTGCTCTAAATTATCTAGAACTAGCTGGCTTACCCGGCTCCGCCGTATCCGGACCAAACTTGGCACACATACACTTCGGGCCCCGGCGGGTGTCACAGTCCACTTTTCGTTATCGATCGATGTCGATTTTACCGATTTTTATCGATTTTTTTGCAGAGTTCACCTACAGGGCTAGGAGTTGGCACAGGGGGGGAAGTGAGCATGGGGATTCCGAATACAACATTAGTTTTCAGGATCGTCCATTACTTTTATCGATTTTATCGATTTTTTTTGTAAAGTTTGACCTGCGGGGCTGGGAGTTTGCACAGGGGGGTAATCGAGCATGCAGATTACGAACACAATATTAGTTTTCAGGATCGTCCATTACTTTTTCGATTTTATCGATTTTTTGAAAATTTGAGCTAGGGGGCTGGAATTTGGCACAGGAGTGTAGTCGAGCATGCTGATCACTCCCCTTGGGGGTGATCAGCATGCTCGATTACCCCCCTGTGCCAACTCCCAGCCCCCTACCTCAAACTTTGCAAAAAAATCGATAAAATCGATAATAGTAATCGATAATCCCGAAAACCAATATTGTATTCGGAATCCCCATGCTCGATTACCCCCTGTGCGAACTCCCAGCCCCGTAGCTCAAACTTTGCAAAAAAATCGATAAAATCGATAAAAGTAATCGATAATCCTGAAAACCAATACTGTATTCGGAATCCCCATGCTCGATTACCCCTCTGTGCCGACTCCCAGCCCCGTAGCTCAAACTTTGCAAAAAAATCGATAAAATCGATAAAATCGATATCGATCGATGACGAAAAGTAGCCTATGACACCCGCCGGGGCCCGTAGTGTATGTGTGCCAAGTTTGGTCCGGATCGGTTCAGAAATGGAATTTTCTATTCGGAACATACGTACACAGACAGACAGACAGACATACAGACAGACAGACAAACAGACATTCAGCTTTATATATAAGATGTCATAAATCCGTCCTTCGATGGCTATCAGATTTTCGGCAGTTCTATTTACCTAAAGCCCGCTTTTGAGCTTATTATCTACAGACTATCCATATTGATGGGAGGAGCTACCTGTGCCGCTTCTATCTTCTAGAGCGATTTTCTCGCTTCGCATATTTTGCAGCGGGACTTGCGCAATTAGTTAGTCAGGGACTTTGCTATACAGCAACGAAATCTCACTATCCTCGGTTTGGGTAGGCGGTGCCTTGGAACTGTCATCAGTGCCTTCTATACGCACACTCCCGCGTTTTCGCTTTCTCCCTGGTTCTCTTTTGCTGCTCGTTTTTCCTAGCTTTCAGTATTTCACTTTGAGGGCATAACGTATGCATTGCTGTTCTTTATTGCTTTGTTAACCCTCCTTCTACCAACATTTTGCTTGCTTTTATGTCTCGTCTATCTCCTACAGACTTAGCAGTTTGACATCGAATGCTGTCAGGTGCTCTCAAATCTTAGCTGAATCATATTTTTTGCTTGTGAGCAGCTGTTGCAGTCCGCGCGCGGCGAACACTGGCGCTCCCCGATTCTGTTTGCACTTTCTTTTGCACATTTTTACCCCAAAGCGCCTCAGATATTGCGCTCTTAATTCTACTTAACTAGCACTTATCCGCTTGAGTACGTCCAGTCAACAGAAGGAAACGAAGGAAGCTAATCGATGAGAGCGAAGAGGGGTGCCTGGGGGCGCCCCCCATACATACACACACTCACGCACTCACCTCTCACTCCCTTTCGCTCCCTCCTCGAACACCTTAGCCTCTCGTTCTCGTGTCTCAAATGGTTTCTTCTTTAATTTTCGCACATAAGCGCTGGATTTTCGCAGAGGATTCCCACTCTCCTTTGCATAATTCTCAATCCGCACTTTCCAATGAAACTCAACCTCAAGGCATTTGTTTGATTCTCGCATGTACTCTGAAACTTCTTTGAATGGTTCTTTACTTCATTCGATGCACTTGCTTCTTGTTTTCAGAACACATGGTTGTGCTCAAAGGCACCGTGCACCCAAAGTGGGGTTGGTGAGATATTGGTGTTGTAAATATATTAGCGGGGCAACTCAGTAATTGCTCAAGTCCCGCTGCAAAAGACGAATTCCGAAGTGAGAAAAAAGCTCCAAAAAATAGAAGCGGCAGAAGCGGCGCAGCTGGCTCCGCCTATAAACGTGGCGTAGTCTGAAGACAGTAATCCAAAATTGTGCTCGTATTTAGGATGTCATGAATCCGTTTTCGTTAGGCTATCAGATTTTCGACAGATCTTCCCTGAAACCTCCTTTCGAGCTCTTATTCTCAGACCATCCGTGTCAATGGGCGGTGCCTCCTGGGCCACTTCTAACTTCTAAGTAGGAAATGGTCAGAACTTAACCCAGCCATATCAACCCAGCTTAACCCAGCATGTTGTATATCATTGAAATCGCCGAGAAACGCTGATCACAAATTATATGTTTATTAGCTGCCAAGCGACTGTCTGGAAGGAGTTATGAGCATTTAAATTTGCTATTTGCCAAATGTTCTGTGGCGCATGCTCCATGAAATGCGTTTCGAAAACACTTATTCAGGCCTTTAAAGAATGTGTTTCTTCCCTGTAATTAAATTAACAGTAGCCAATGTAAATCTTCGCCATCATGCTGCCTTTAAAGGAAATATATTCGCCGAAACTCGATAAATTTTTCATATTTGTACGCTCATATCTCATTCAAGATAGTCGCGTGGCAGATAATAAGCAAATATTTGGAATCAGCGTTTCAAGACGAGTCCGATGATATACAGTTGTTTAGAATGGCTGGGTTAAGTTCTGACCATTTCCTGCTAAGCAGTTTTCTCACTTCGGATTTTATCTCCAGCAGCAGGAGTTGGGCGATTAACTAACTGATCCGCTATTACGCATCAAAATGTATTTAAGTTTGAGAGTGGACGATGCTTTTAAGCAGAGCTGAGAGCAGGAGGGTGCAAGCGGTAGATTTTTCGGGTGCTTCAATTTTTTTCAAGGGTAATCTATTCGCTGGGATTCAAATCCTCAAAATGCGATTATACTTCCTTGCATTCAATGAGGAGAAATTCTGCACTGTTTTCACGTCTGTTTATCTACTGTTACTCTGAGTCAAAGTCCTATAATGTGTCTGTATTTCAATAGATAAGTTTTTACAGTGTCGCAGTTCATCGCACTCGCCTATATTCACACGAAGTGAACGCCTGTTAGCTCGTGGTAGTAGTCCAAGAGGGCGAAGACGACAGGTGAGACTTACAAACCTTTGCTATATCATTTTGCCAAATTATTTATGGATTTTCTATACGTAATGTCATTTGACTCAATTTTGTGGTACTGCCCCTCGTAATATGTATTCATTGCTATGCAGATTCAAACGAAAATTCCTGTGCAAGTGAACATGAATGATTTTCTGTTAATGTGTTTATGTGCGCTCTTTTCTCTTATCACTCCATTCAATTGATTAGACAAAAAATGTGTCCATTTTCTCTTCACATTTTTTCGCACCCAGTTTTCAAGCGTTCCTTGCTGAGTTTAAACCTGATCTCATCTGCAGAATGATACTGAATCATTAAGCGATCATTATTTTCGAACAACACCATTTTCATCTCAAGTAGTTCGAAAACTATAATAGTATGCTGCATAAGATTACTTTTTTCTTGTAAAAATAAAAATAAATGGTTGAGGACGTGTAACCATCAAAACATGACGTATTAGTACTAGCTGCAGAGTTTTCTCATCTTCTTCGACATTGCTAGATTTATTCATTTTCATTTCATTTCATTCAGTTTTTCCACATTTTCTTTTCACAGAGATGCTGTTGCGTTGTCCCAAAGTGAACTCCATATTCAGATAAATTGAGATTTTTTTTCTTGGCAGGCTTAGGGCACCATTCGATAGAGCGGAGCAAGCTCTACAAAAAGACCACCAAAGATCCACCCAAATCGTAATCTCTGTTAAATTTGGAGCAAAAAACCAAAACTTTTCCCTTAAAAATCGGGTCTCGTTCCAAAAAATTCCTAGGGACCTCCAACTCGGTCATAATATATTAGGTTGTCTCGAAAGTTTTATCCGTTTTCAACCTACCATAAAAACGCGAGGAACGGAGATAGGGAAACGCCCTAAGCACTATCCGACGCATCTTTTCCTTCTCTTTCTAACTGTCAAGACCGCTTGCCGATTACTCTTTTGCTCACTGAGATAAACGCCGAAATTTCGAACCCATGGTTTTTACTATGTCCAAGTTTGGCAATTTTTCACAATCTTTATTTTTGACTTTCGGAAAAGCTTTGGCAACAGTTAGATAGAGCAAACGAAGGGCAATATAATGAAATTTTGCGGCATATATAGCCAGCTTTGAAAATTTTTTAGAATTATTTTTCTGATGCTATCAAATTCCACTTTTGGTGATGCCAAAAGCCAGAGATCATGAAACGGCGCACAACTAAGGTGTTATTCGATGCAGCTTTTCCTCCTCTTTCCATTGAGTATATTTTCTCTCCAATTTGCGAGGTCTTTGGCTATAAAATTCTCATAATTCTTGAATTTGACCCCAACCCAGCGTGTACACGTAAAATGCAAAATCTTATATTTCGAGGCGGTAAACGCTCATTTGCTTCGTAAAAATAGTGAATAATCGTAACTGATTTTTGAAAGCTTCAAAATTCGATTTGTTAGTGTTCGAGGCGTTTCTGTATTTTAGAACTTCGCAAAAGTGAAGATTTTTGAAAAAATTATGTTAAAAAATACTGAAAAGCCAGCTGGATTGGCCAAAAAATTGCATTGCATTGCCCTATGTTTACTCTATCTGAGCGCTATCAAAGGTCTTCCAAAAGTTGAAAATGAAGATTGTGAAAAATTGCCAAACTTGGACATAGTAAAAACCACGGGTTCGAAATTTTGGCGTTTATCTCAGTGAGCAAAGGAGTAATCGGCATGGGATCATGACATTTAGAAAGACGAGGAAAAGCTGCGTCGGATAGTACCTGAAGCGTTTCCCGATCTTCATTTCTCATGTTTTTAGGATAGGTTGAAAAAACGGACAAAACTTTCGGGACGACCTAATAGTAGACTTATAGTAGTGCCTAAAAGTATATTTGGTGGATTTTTTTTTCGGGGCTCAAAATTGAGAAACAACGATGATTTGAAAATGCCAAAATGCCACTTTTTTCGGGTTTTTCATGCAAAACTTGGTCTTTCTCGACTATATAAGCACATACAAGGATAAAGTTTTGAGATTAGTATACTTAGTATAGATTGTAGCATACAGTGAGAGGGAGGGGGGAGGGGAGGTAGTATGTGGGAGGGGATGGGGGCGGAGTTGGCATTCTTGGACTATTCTTTTTTCGCTTTCTATGCGCGGAAAAAATCCAGTAAAGGCATATTTGAGTACTACTATGTGCCTCTGTATAGTGACCAAGTTGGAAGTCCACAGGAATTTTCTTCGTAAAAATTTAATTTTCAAGTGACAAAATTTCTCTCGATTTTAGCTTAAAACTTAACATGGAATGCGAATTAGGCGGATCCTCGGTGGTCATTTTGTAGTGCTTGAGCAGCTCTATCGAACGGTTCCCTAAATCTACCAGGAAAACAAAAACAGCTCGAATTATTTAAAAACGAGTTCACTGTTCGGACAACCTAATACATCTCCTTCTCTAATCCCTTTATATTGTGGCTGAGTGAAATCAGGATTGACTTCTATTTTTTCAATAATTATTTTTAATTCAGTCTACGTAGTTTCTGCTCTTCCAGATCCTTTCTGATAGCGCAGCGCATTAGTTATGACATTATGAGGCCTCCTCTCCATACAACCAGTTTTCAAAGGTCTATTGCTCGCGCTTCTCTTATTAATTTGCTCCACTTCGTCGCAGGGCCTAAGTTCTGAGTTCAAATCTGTGATTTTAGTGTTCTCTACATAAGTAGAGCCATCTTTATATTTTTCTGGGATTTATCTGAGTTGGCGATAACTATTTTTTCTTTTCGCTTTCAATCACTTTTTTGGACTTCTTAGCTCTGAATATCGCAGCATATCCCCAAGAAGATTTTTAAAGGCATTTCCTTAGCGTATGAGACCCCCTGCGAAAACTATGGAAGTAATGAACACTTCTTCGCTTATTTTCTTATCCCGTTCTTTCACTTCCTCTTCGTGGTCCAGGCAGCAATAGACGAAATACTAAAATTACATTCATTTATTTTTTGTCGCATTCTTAAATTTGTATTGCGGATTATTCGAAAGGGAAAGAGGTTGTTGGAGATTTTTGAGAAAAACCTGCTTGAAATCGAACCTCGTCTTCTGATCACCACTCGCTTCAGTCTTTGCCAACATCAGTAATAGCTATTTGTTAGTGGTGATGAGCTCTAAAGAGATCATCCGCGAATCAATACATAATTTTTGTGGCTTCTGCCGTCGGATGAGGAGCCGTTGAGCAAGGTGACATCAACAGCGGATGTCGCATGTCTTCTAGATAACCGAATTATAAAGTGGTAAATTTCCTGTTAATAGCTCGTCCAATCACAATTGATCATTTTTTTCCGTAATACCTTTTCAACGTTGAATTTTTTATGAAAATCATCCCGTATGTTGCACATCGATTCAGCTTCGTTAACGCATTTGCGCTTTCTCATTTGAGTTTAGGCATTCTTCCTCTTGTTCCCGGTACGTTCCTCGAAGTTTCTTTTTGCTTAGAGGCACCGTCTACCAAAATTTTTGGTTTGGGTTTCTATTTCTTAAGGTTTGGTCCAAAATTGATGCAGGGATATTAACGTTGTCTAACAGGGGGGACCCCTAGTTAAGTAAGCATTGAAGTGTCGCTGCAAAAGATGAATTGAACTGAGAAAAACGCTCCACAACGCTTTAAAAAGTAGCGGCCCAGGTAGCTCCGCCCATTCACGTGGGTGGTCCAAAGATGAAAAGTCCAAGTGGTGCTTTAATGTACATAGAGATGTCATGAACACGCCTTTCATTACGATTACCTTATTTTCGACAATACTATCAGCCCTTAAGTCCCCTTTCGAGCCTTTTTTCAGAGCACCCACGTTAATATGCAGGGCTACTTGGGTGATCTGTTTTCTGGAGTGTTTTTCCCGCTTCTGCAGCGAGACTTGGGCGATTTACCATTAGTTAGAGACCTCGCTATTATACAACTTCAAGTTAAGCCCGACTTCAGTATGGGTGGACCGTGTTTAAGCGTTTTTTCCTTTTCTGATTTGTTCTTCATTCTCCATTTTTTATTCCCCTTGAGCATCTTATAGGGGATGTCGTACTTTTTGGAAAGAATAGACTTCGTTTTGGAAAGTTTCTGAACCCACGTCATATCGAACTCAGAAATCAGGCTCTGCTGCTTTTCAGGCGCTGCCAAAAAAAGTAGGCATTGACTAGCTTGGAATGCTCTATGTAACATTCACTTCTATCCTCCTTTCAATTTCTGTTATGCTACTGTTTTTTCTCAGGTTTTTGCTTGTTATCGCTTACTTACATAAAGTATATACAGCTATCTCATTCCGTCTCAATAAGCCGATAATCCAGCGTATCATCATGCATATCCGATGTTAATGGATGTGCAGAAAGGATTGTAATTATTAGGCGAGCGCAATGTGTCAAACTCGCTTTATAATGCTGGATTTTGTTTAGTTTTCAAATCCTGCGTAATGTCGCACTCAAATTAACGAAATTTTTTATTTGTTGGCAACGCAATTTTTGCAAACATTACTAAGAAGCACTTTACAAATAAAAGCGTGCTTAAGATTGAAGTCTATAGGAGAACTGAGTTCTGAGTACCAGAATTACTCGTTCATTTTATCCCTTTGCTCTTCATGTCATTATTCAATCCATGAATGTCAGAGTGACTGACAGAACAGCTGCCCTTGGTCGCAATAACTTTTTGGTTTGCTTACTAGCGCTATAATCTGCAAAGAAGATGCTTCAATAATGAATAATATAAGACCTTTGTATTTCCCACTTTTTTCCTGAAAATCTGAGTTCGTCAAACTCTACGAAGTATCTAGAAAAATCACTTGATGCATGGCTGACAGGGCCTTTCCTTCTTCACAGATCGCTTTTGCTTCTTCCTCCCCCTTCCCCCCTCCCCCCCCCCTTCCTACTCCCGCCCACGCCCTTCCTCGATGAGAACTTGCGGCCACTACTGATAAAGACGTTTGAAAGGTTTTACTAAATCAAGATCATCGTCGTTGCATCATCGTTGCATGGCATACGAGCATTTGCTGTGGGTGTCGGAAGTGATGCGTGGCG